CACGCACACACAAGCACACACACACCACAGGCATGCACACACCACAGGCATGCACACACAAGCACACACCACAGGCACGCACACACAAGCACACATCACAGGCACACACACATCACAGGCACGCACACACAAGCACACACCACAGGCACGCACACATCACAGGCACGCACACACCACAGGCATGCACACACCACAGGCATGCACACACAAGCACACATCACAGGCGCACACACACCCAGGGGCCGGAGCTGCCCTCTCCGAGGCTTAGGTCAACTGTTGACTCTGTAAAACTCGTCACTGTTGGTCAAGCTCAAGGATGGAAAGGTATCTCATTTTTGGTTTAATCTGGCCATAAATCAGAATGCTTAACACATTTTTCTGATCAAGACTGTCACAATCTATTTTTGGGGGCAGGAACTAGCATTTCAGTAACAAGACGGGTTAAACTGTAACACTGTCCAGGAATCGACTCAATAGAAATAGTATTGCTTCAACCGTAAAATGTGCTTTCATGTAAATTCTGCTTTCATCAACAGAAAAAGGATTCTAAAAATATTACATAAGCATATCTTTATAATTAGTAATCACGTTCTGTTAATCTATGTTTTAAGGTATCTTAAATTACGAAACTATAAGGTTTAGTGTTTCCTTGAAAATAATTTAAAGCAAACATTTTTAAATTTTCAGAGCCTAATGTTTCAAAAGTTACGATTTCGCCCACCATGCTACAAATATTCTGTCTGCTAACACGGCCCATGGTCCCCAGAACGAGGCCCGTCTGCCGCTGCGTCTTCACGGCTCTGCGGTGGGTGGGAGCGGGTACTGCCCCATGGCGCAGTGGCCCTGGAGCGGTTCTCTTCTCCCAAAAGGAAGAGCTTCCTTCCTTCCTGTCGCAGCGGCCACATGCCCCACGCACACCAAGCCACGTAAACACGGGAAAAACGGGCCCTGTGGGGAGCTCCTCTGCAGATGGAGGTGGTCCTCGCGAACCCCCGTGAGGACCCACACCACTCCTCCGCGGGGCAGCATTTAACGGAAGCTTGGTCATCGTCTCAAGCCCAGGAGCAAGGCTCACAGGCGGGCGTCGCTGCCGCGCCTTAAAGGTCCTTGGGGGAAACAGGGACGGGGGAGCGAGTGCCGACGCCTCTGCCCCGCATCCGCGGAGGGCGGCGTCGGGGGCGGACCACGTCTGCTGCCTCCTCACCCCTGGGCTCCCCTCCCAACCGCTGCAGAAGGGCCAGCCTGAATTCACCCCACGTGTGCGTGCGTGTGCGTGGGGTGCAGTCTCCACGTTTCAAGAGTTATAAATAACACGAACTTTCCAGCCACGCGTCAGCGCCAACTTCTCACCTCTCCTGCCTTCGTGCCCTGTTCTACAGCTGAAGACATCGAAGCAGAAGGAACGACACGCGTCCCGGGGGGAACGCCCTCTCACTCGATAGAGGACCGAGACGCGGGCAGCAATGCTCCAGGGAAGAGCGTGGGGGACAGCCCTGCATCTTGGGGCTGAAGACAGTGACCCGCACATGCCTGCACACACGGCTCAGAGCTCCTCAGGAGAAAGCCGGGTTTACGTCAGTAATCAATCAACAGGTATGAGAGCTCTGCATCAGAGAGGGGCTTAGAAACGGCCCAGAACGGCCCGGCCACGGAAACTGGTCACAACACTGCCCGGAAGGCAGTGTGCGAGTCTCAGAACATCACAGGCACACACACAGGGGGTCAGAAAGTGTCCCCCACAGTGAATACCGACACGCATCCACACTTCTAACTGTCCTTGCAGATACAGCGGGGTCTTTCTCAGTGAGCATACGTTATTTGTGTAATAAACACAAACTTCTCAATTTGAAGAGGCAGCAAGTACGATGCAGTGCGGACAAACAGAGGCAGACCAGCGCAGAGGGCGCACAGGCAGCTGTGGCCCCAGGTCGGGCCTGTGCAGAGGACTGGCAGGGAGCAGGCACGTTGGGAAGGGTGCGTGGGCACCTGCGTGGCAGAGGAAGGCGGCCTGAGCCCCAGAGCAGCGGCTCCCATCTGGCGGGAAGACAAGGCCCGTGGAGGAACCTCAGGAAACAAGGGCAAGATGAGGGGCCGGGCTGGGAGCTCCTCCAGGAGGAGGGGGTGGGGGCAGGGCACCTGGACAGACTCCGTCCAGCGGTGGGGGCGGCAGGAGGGAGGCAGGGAGAGGAAAGACTGATCAGGCCCGTGAAGTCTGAACACTGACACCTGCAAGCGTTGGCGAGGATGTGGGTTGACTGAGTGTGAAAGGGGGCAGCCGAGAGATGGCTCCCACTCCTCACATCTGACCAAAGCACAAAAGCCAACGTGCGCGAAGGCCCGCCTGCATCACCCACGAGCAGAGCCTGGAACAGCCCCGAAGGCCCCACGCCAGCCCTGCGTCAGCCTCTTGGATGCAAAAGCCTGGGGCTCAGTGTGTTTTTTTGCAAAACAGCTTTTTGAGTCTCGAAGACGGTGGTGGTCAACCTTGTATGTCCGTCTGCCGGGTGCTAGTCCCCGGTTAACAAATCAAACACCAACCTAGGGCTGCTCTGGAGGGCCCGGGGAAACCCGTGTGACAGACGGACCAACGGGACAGAGCACGTGCACCACAGGGCAGCAGTCAGACGACCTGGTCCTGCTCCCTCTATGTCCAAGCCCCCACCGGCCAGAACAGCACCAGGCTGCGTGTTTGGACAGACAACGGCTCCGTTTGTTAAAAACAAGTTATCTGGAAGGAGGAGAAACGTGGCAGCCTCGCCTGCGTGTGCTGGGGGAGAGCAGGGGAGTGGGGCAGCTGTGTGCCTTCCCACACCTGAAGCACTACTGTGCGGAGGGAGGGATGGGAGCCTCAAGCGCCTGGGGCCACACTGGTCCCAGCAGAACCACAGACACACAGGGACGAGCCAGGAGAGCCACGGAGGGGGCGACTTGGCAAGTCCACGGCCCACCACGGGACCAGAGGAGCCTGGTCAGGAGGCCTGGGTGCGTGGTCCAGGGGCTCCATGCGCAGACGTGAGCGGAGCTTCGGGGCCAGCAACAGCAAAGGCAAGCTGGACAACCAAGGCTGGAAGAACGCACAGGGCAAGACGAGGGGCCGCAGAGCACCAGACCACGCCCAGGATGGCCACAGGGTGTTACACACGGCACACGGAGCTAACACCAGAATATGCCAGCAGAATCAAGAAGCTATTTTCCGATCCCTCCAATTCAACTCCTTGGTTCACAACTCAATACAGACTCGTTCATAAGAAGGGAGGAGACAGCCAGCATGCGGCCCTAAGTAATCTTACTTGGGAATATTTCAACCATGGAGGAATTCAAATAAACACCCACAGGAAAGGCTCCCATCACTCCCAGGGGAGCACAGTCTATGGGTTTTTTCATTATTATTTCCGTTTCATCATTTAATAAAAAATGTAATGCCTGAAATTTCTGAAAATTTTTAATGTCCAATTAGTTACACTGAAATATTTCACTCAAGCAATCTGTGAACGCTAGAAATGATCAAGATAAAGACGTCTGCCAACACTGCATCCTCCAGGGGCTCTCCGTCCTTGGACACGAAGGGAAAGAGGAACAGCATCGGCAGAGAAGCAGGGACCCGCCACGACGTCCCAGAAGCGGAGACACTGGGGGACCACACATGGGCCCGCGGCCGAGCCCCGCTCCAGACGGGCGAGTGGCTGCTGTGAGAGGAGGAGAGATCAGCCGAGCCCTCAACAGGGTGCAGGGGGAGGGCGTGGACGGCCGGCACGTGGCCATGTGTGTGAGGCTCTGCAGGCAGGCGAGCCTCCACAGGCACCTGAAGGTGAACTCCCACTGGGACACGGGACAGGCATGAGTCCACCAGCCCACGACACCCAGGCCCCTCGGGGCATTGGGACCTGGCTCCACAGGGAGGAGTGTACGGGGAAAGAGATGGCTGGTTCCCATCAGCACTGCCAGCAACAGAGGGACGTGAAGGGGCTGGGACACGGCAAGACCAAGTGGGGCCTGGCACCTGTCTCAGATTCTCCCACAGTCACAGCAGGCACCAAGAGACCACCTATTTGGGCCTCGCTGTTAGAGTAAAAAATAACTGTATGTACGAGGATCACGAGAGAAACCAGAAATGAGCGGTCCTTAACCAGAACCTAAGCCTCACCCACAGGCCTCGCAGCTACCAGGACGGCTAGCACCAACAGGTGGAGGTGACGCTGCAGCCACCCACTCGCTCTCCCCAGCCCTGCAGCAAGGTCTCCGTAAGATGCAGCCAGCGTCCCCACAGCCCCCTCTGCACTCTCCTAACAAGCCGCATCGAGAGCCCCGCGCAGACCTGACACAGCCCCACACCAGCACAGCTGCAGCCGGCTGGTGCCGCCCATCAGCCTGAGGTGCCCGTCCAGCATTCCGACCTAGCAACTCCCCACCCCGGAGTTTACTTGAGGAAATAACCCAAGCTCAGACGCACAGGCCTGTGACGTTCATCACGTGTCACCTACAGGAGGGAAGTGCTAACTGACCCATCCCACGTCCTCCCGATTCCCCAGATGCAGAGCAGCATCGACCCCCCGAGCTACTACAGGTTCACGTGCACCTCACTGCCGTGGACGCCGGTCGCACCACCCGTGTGCGTGCCACGAGCCCTTAGATTCCAGTTTGCTTCAACAGTCGGTATGACTGGCCACAGAGGAGACGTTGGAAGGGCCCCCGCTGGCCGCAAGGCGGGAAGAACACAGTGGCCTATATTTTCTTCTTTATAGTTTTCTACATTTCCTGAATTTCTGCAAATAGTATGTGACTTACAAACCAAAAGACACTCAGCCCCCAGCATGTGTGTGCAGTGGTGCATCCCCCGGCCGTGGAGGGCTTCGGGCAGCAGAGCCCACAGGGGGGCCTCCACGGGTGACAAGGGGCTTCCACATCAGAGAATCGCATGAACACATTCATCAACAGACTCGCATCTCCGACACAGCGGCCTTACCTTTTCCAGGACTAAGGTTCTGGTCTATGAAGACCTTTAGCTCCCCGTTGGCTTCAATTAGACCGGCCTGCAGAAAGCAACAACAACAGCAATAAATACGACATCGAAGAGGGGACAAGCCGAGGTCGTCATGAGCATCCTCATGAGAGGGTGGTGTAAAGTAACACACTGGAGACACAGACGTCACCTTCAGGTAAACAAGGGCAGAGAGCCCGGGGGCGCCCAGGCCCTCGCAGGGGCCGGTGGGGCTGAGGCCTCCGAGTTATTTGGCTGTGATTATCAGCTTAAAAGATCATCTGAAGATTTCAGCCTTTAAAGCTTAGCCCTTGAGATACCAAGGAAATACTGCTTTTATTCATGAATCGGCACGTGTATTTCAAATGGTGGTGTCTGAGGCGGGCACAGGCGGACCGCGGGTGGAAATGAAAATTCATTCAACCACCTGGGAAGGAACCCGGCGATCCAGCCTGAGAACAGGGCAGGGCCTATGCTTGGTCAGAGCCCGGGGAGCAGTGACGCCTCCCCAGCAGGGAGCGGACACACCTCCGTGCACAGGAGGAGCGCGGGCCTGGGCCAGGCAGCCGGGCTCCGTCCCTCCCTGCCCCTTCACGACTGCAGGAGGCCCGACACCCCAGCACCCCCACCTCGTAACCGGGGTGACCACAGGGCATGCTAGGCAGGACCCATACAGCAGCGCCCACTAGCGGGGCCAGTACCTGTAGGTGCAACGCAAGGTCAGATGAAGGGCAGCACGCACAAGCACAGAAGAGGCCGGGGGAACGGAACGTCACAGTGCCCGTCTCCAGGTGGAGAAACGACTGGGACCTATCTCCTGCCTCTGTTTCTCCAGATTCTCCATCAGGAGAACTCAGGTCCTAAGGCCTGATGGGCATCCTGCACGGTCAGCGCTGGGGCTCGTGCAACACCTGCCCCCGGGTCTGAGAACCATGAGTCTCTCTTCCCCACCAAGGACCAGAAAGAGCATCCATGGCCCCCCACAAACACCACTAAGGTTCCGCCGGGGTACCAAGGGGGCTCGAAACCCAAGCCTCCCAGCACCTGACATGCCAGGGGACATCACACGTGTGTGCACACACCTGTGCATGTAAACACACACACACTCACAGACTCATACGTATACACACCGACACACACCATACACACCATGCAGGTGCACGCATGCACATGCACACACGTGTACACACCTGCACACAAATACACACACATGTACACAAACGAGATGGGTGAGTCAATCTGGGCAGACGGGCCTCCCCTCCCTCACGCCCAGGCCTCCGACAACCAGAGACCAGGGCAGCGGGCTGCAAAGTATGAAGCCCCAGGAGACCCAGGGGCCCAGGCTTGTAGGGGCTCACACCCGCATATACACAGTCACTTTGCACACACGCACCAGAGCGAGCGTTAAAACAAAACCCTCTGGATTTCCCTCCTGGATGTGCAGGCACAGAGCCAGCCTGTGAGGGATCAGACACGGCCCCAGGAGGCCAGGGCCTCTCACAGCTTTCATTCTCTTCCGCTCTGGGAAAAACGGCAGTGCCCAGGGGTCCGGCGGGGCTGGAGCCCCGTCCCCGGAGGAGCCTCAGGTCTGCAGCCTCCGGAAGGGACCTCCTCCGAGTGCACGTGTGGCGGCGACCAGCCCGGAGCACACAGGTGCAGCCCACCTGAGACCGGCTGCGGAGACGGCCCGCCTCAGGCCCTGCCCCAGAGGGGGACGGGCGCACCATGCCCATGAAGCCACAAGAAACCCAACACGCCCAGATGCACACTCCCTGCAAGAAACCGTGGCAGCAATCCGACCCACTGACCTGACCCGAGACGGACGTCAGGGCCACTTGGCTGAGGGACCACTGCCACGCCTCTGAGCCCAGCAAGGCCAGGTGGGCCATTTCCTGGACTCTCCAAAACTCCACCCACCCAGACAGGGAGGGTGCCGAGCGCCTGCCCGCGAGGGCATTCACACTGACACATTCACACTGCCCCATTCTGAACCCCCCGACCAGGAGCCGGCTAAGGATGGACATCACGCTGACCATGCGGCCACTGCCATACAGAGCAGGGCAAGCCCGCACGCCCGGCCAGGAGAAAAGGACCAGGGCAGCCGGGCCCAGCAGGGCGTCCAGCTCTGGGCTGAGGAACCGGTGCAAGTGCTGCTGGGAGCCTGGTCACGCTGGTCCCAGCCACGTCCCAGGGACACAGGCCCAAAGCACCCTGGAGCCACAGAACGCCCACCGCCACAGAGTGAGGACCCAGCTGGGGTCGGGAAGGGCTGCAAAGGCCACGCACCCGACAGAGGCCAGGAGACAGCCTGGACCACCCTCATGCTGGACGACAGCCACTGTCAGATGGCCCGGCCCTGCACAACACTGGCGCCCCCGGCTTGTCCCTCTTGCAACCCCAGGGAGCTCATCGGCTCCATACAAGGTGGCTCTGACGTGCTGTCCATCATCCTCCACCAGAACTGACACAGGAGTGTACGCCCAGTGGACAATGCAGCTGGCGGCCATAGAGTGCCAAGACTCGACGAGAACAGGGCCTGTTACTGGTCCTGGAGGTCTGTCTCGGTGGGTCCGGGCCTCTGCCCCACCCTATCTCAATGAGGCCACTGGGTGCTGCTCCACGCCCTGGTACACTGACTGCCCACAGGAATCGACCTTTGACATGGGCCAAGGAAGCTGCAATCACTGGCTGTCAGACGGGAGCCTCTGACGTGTCGCAGGAACCTCCGGATGCTTCTCAGTCCTGCTCTGACCTTTCGCGTCAGCCCCGGCGGGGACCTGACCCCTGCAATCACTCCGCAACCCAGATCTGGGAAGCCCAAGGCCCCAGGAGCTGACCCGTCACTCTGGGGGACGCACAGCCTGACTCAGGCGTGTCAGTCAAACCTGCTCTCTCTTGGGCAGAAACGCTTCATCTTCCCTCAGCCACACGCTTCTGCGGTAGCTGCCCGGTGAGTGGAGGGGCCAGGAGCACACCAGCACGGCCCTTTCTGGAAAAATCTGAGCATGGATAAGGAGACCAGTGTTTCTCTGCAAGCCTCGATTTTATGATCTAGAGCTGAGGAGTAACAGGAAGACACGGGGACAGGAGATAAGGGAAGAGAGCAGGTGAAGAGAACACAGCAAACCACACAAGCACCAAACTAGGGACAGAGGCGTCACACCCACAGTTCCGGCCACACCTGCACACAAGCAGCATTTCTGCTCCTGGACACCAGAAAAATCCTTAAAGTCTACTTGCTCACGCTCATTACAACTATGTTTCCGCCCCCTGAACTCCAGAAAGAACCTAATGTAGACAATCGGGCTGGACCTTTAATCCACAGCCACGTCCGTGATGGACAGCTTGTGCGAATTCCATCAGCCACGTGTGCACCACTCAGGGCTGGACACTCGGTCGCCACCTGCGTCTCACGGGTCCTCGTCGCCCCTTGTTCTCGACAGCGAGAACCCCAGTGCACGGGGCCTGCGAGAAAGCAAAGCCGACGTCAAAGCAGACTCTGTCAGCCGCGGTACAGCTGCCTCTCGGGCCTGGACGCCGAGGGCCCGGGGCCGTCCTCACCACAGGGCCAGGGCACCCCAGCTGTGACGTCGCCCTGAGAATGCCCGACCCACAGGCGTGCTTCCCAGGCTGCGCTGCCTCTGAAAGACCTCTCCCCAGAGCTGCCGTGTAAACAAGCACAAACCCAGCCCAGCCAGGCGGGCGAGACCCACAAGATGGGAAATCCGACCAGAGGAAGCCGAGCTGCTGCTGACCAGCTGTCCTGTCCCCACATGGGGCAGCGACCAGCTCCCCCACAGCGCGTCTGACCGGCACAGAAATCATCCCTATTTCACAACATGCCGTGTGTTAAAATCGCAGAGGACACGCAAGCACGCTTTTCCACTGAGGAGCTCAGAAAACCAAAACACAGCTCACAGTTCTCTTGTTCACAGATCATCTGAACAGCAACGTGAGAACGTTCTACAAACCACCCCTGGAGAACGACCTCCTTACAGACAGAACCTGGAGCCCACAGACCCCAGACGGCTTGAGGGGAGTGAGCAGCCAGCCTCTGGGAGGCCCCCGCCCGCCCATCCCTCCCTCCCCAGTGGGCTCTTGCCGGAGATCAGATGGAGACGGAGGGAACAGCGGAGTGTGACCCGGGGCTGGGTCATTGTCTCCCTGGATTGCTCACTCAGGAAAGCTGGCGGCAGGTCAAGGACGCTCCAGCAGCTCCACGGAGAGGTGGGGTGAGTAGATGTGAGGGCCCCACCCACAGCCTCCTTGGAAGCAGACTCTCCCGGCCCCAGGCCTTCAGATGGCTGCAGATCAGGGACATCTCGACAGAGCTTCCCCAGTGAGCAATCCCCAAATTCCCAGCCCTCCGAACTGTCCAGGGGGACACACGTTTACTGTTATTCTCAGCCACTGAATTTGGGGGTCATTTGCTTCACAGCAATTGATAACAGTGGTTAAAGATTTTTCTATAGAACATAAAAAAAGTGCTTCTTTTCTTCAAACCAGGGAGTCACAGAAAGTATTCTCAAAGCAAATCTTGACAGTACGGGCAGCTTTCCCGACATCATGTGAGTGACTGACAAACGGTCACGACCAGAACAACTTACCCAGGTCTCCTGGTCTCAGATAAAGACCAACAGCCACATTTTCCAGTTGCCTCCGTGAGGAGTGAGGCCCTGGGAACGTGGGCTGTGGTGGTCTCTGGTCAGCCAGGGGGAAGGCTGCTCGGAAAAGCAGAGCCGCTTCCAACAACTGAGCAGTTACAGGCCTCATAGGGAAAGCATCAGAGCAGGATAGACCCTCGAGGCCAACTGGCCTCCACCACGACTAACCACACCAGTTCCCACACTAGCTCATCATACAATGAGACCACACATTTTCCCAAATCCAATCCGAACCCAAGGCCCCAGCATACTCCTTCCAATTCTGCTCTCTATGAAGGCGACAGACGGGTCCGTGGGCTGAAGACCCACTTGGAGCAGACACGAGCCCACCCACTCCAGGCCATGTGTGGGCCCAACATCATGTCTCCACCACCCGCAGGTACAAAGC